AGCAAATAACACTCAGCATACAGGAATCTGCAAGGATGTCATAAAGCTAGCTCTACAAGGTATGGTGTTCTCCTTGCCCTTCCCAAAATTTTTCTAGCTAATCATATAGACTTGAGGAAACTGAATGTGTGGGTCAGGTTCCTTTGTCCTTAAGCCTCTCATTTAAAATGTGTTTTTCTCTATCTACAAAAGGTTCTGGTGGTTATTTTGCAGATAAGTGCAGCAAAGCTGGTGGATGGTCTAGGGAACAGCTCTTATATGAGAAGCAGCTGAAAAAGCCAGGGTTGTTTAGCTTGGAGAAAAAGGAGGCTTGGGGAGACCTGATTATACTTCACAACTACCTTAAAGGAGATTGTAGTGAGGTGGGGATCAGGCTTTCTTCCCAAGCACCAAGCGATAAAACAAGGGGAAATGTCCTCAAGTTGCATTGGCGAGGTTTAGGTTGGATATTATGAGAAATTTCTTTACCGAAAGGGTTGGGCAGCATTGGAACAGGCTGCCCAGGGAAGCGGTTGAGTCACTGTCCCTGGAGGTCTTCAAGAAACGTATGAATCTAAAAGTTAGAAGAATGGTTTAGTGGCGGACTTGTCAGTACTAGGTTAAAGGTTAGACGAGATAATCTTAGAGGGCTTTTCCAACCTGAATGATTCCCTGACTGCCCCTTTAAAAGCCAGCTGTACTGCTACCAGAGACCCCTGGAAAATCAGACTGTAAAAGCAACAGAGGAATGGTACTGCAGTAACCTTAAGGCAGGGGTTACCCCTTCTCTGCAGACCCCAAGCATTACTGGGGTATTTTGTTCACACTTTATGTTTAGCGACAGCACTGAGCCTGAAAGAAATCTTGGGCATAAAACATGGAATCCCTCTTGGGCAAAGGAAGTAGTCAGTGCTGTTAGAAGCCAAAAAATTGTTTTAATTATTTGGCCTTTTGTTCACAGAACAGACTTTACTGGGAAATAACTGAACCACAAGTAGCAGCAAATGATATGCAGAGAGCTAAGAGGATTTCAAAAATGTCTGTAACACTTCCAAGTGGCAGCCCTCTGTTTTAGCAAATGACAACAGAACTCCCTTCCCAGGGTGTGGTGGGACTTTGCTGACTCCCTGCATGTCCTCATGGCTTTTTTTTCCCCCCTGCCTTTTGCAGCAGAAATTTATAGTTGCATTTAAGAAACTGTTTGGAGGATTTGGTCACTTAAAATAACATTTACTCTTTCCTAAACTGTAGTATTTTTTTCTTCTAATTCAATGGAGCATGGAAATTGCTTTCTTCGCAAAGATGTGTGGAAGGAGGAACATGACTGCTGTATTATTAGGAGCTGTGTTTTAGCAGGATATATTCCCCACGTACAGATTTAGAACAAAATTAAGTAAGTAATGTATTGATATATTGTAAGCTTATCAAAAGTACAGCTCTTTATGATGTCAAAGCAGAAAGTAATTTTCCCATTATTATGGCCAAGGCTCTGTCAGAGTTACTTGGTATAAATGTCTCCTCAGCCATTTAACACAGCGGTTTCAAGGTACCTTTGGATTCAGTTGCCCTCAGGTTTACAGTCCTGGTGATTTTCTTACATTAATACATCTCTGACTGAGACAGCAGCAAAGCAGCATCTGCCTGTGGGGTTTTAGATACAAGCTAAGAAGTTGTATTAGGAGACCATCATTGTTTTATGGTTTCCCACTTCAACCTAGTCTTTCAACATGGAAAATTTCAGAGAAAATAACAGACCAAAATGTAAAACATCAGCTTAGAAAATTTCCATCACTTGTGCTACAGAAGCACTTGGATCACAAAGCTGCTCTGCTGGGTGAGGCACAGAAACACGAATTCCACCCTTTCGCTGTGTTTTGAGCTGTGGGGCAGTTGCATTCCCACTGGGTAAGAGTTGCGACATGAGCTATAATTAGGGCCCAGCATGCCAAATGGTGTATTTGCTTCAGGGACAAGGCTCTGCAGGAGTGACCGGAGAGTCACAGGACTAGAATGCAGTACTTGGATCTACAATGCTCTTGTCAGAGAGGAGGGTCTGAAACCAGAGAGGACTTGCTTTGGCAGCTGCTGCTCTGTAAACTGCCTCATTTCTACTTCTCTGTGCTTAAGCATATGCCAACAGCAGTTCGTTATAAGGTCAGGTCTGGGTCCCTGAAAATTAGTCGCCAGTAACTTTGATGTAATAAACTGTGCCATTTGCAAAGCAAGCTGGTTCGTTTCTTTCTTAATCAGTGATATGGATGGAAAAAAGATGTTCAGGGATGTATAAACCTTTGCAAGTGGACTAAATGTTTCATGTTTCCCTCGAGGAGAAAAGGCATCCAGGAGAGTCAAACATATGGAAGAAGCTGACCAACCAGAATGATTTTCACAAAGTTGTTGCCACACAAAAAGCTGCACTTTGGCTAGGAATGCTTTGGCAATACCAGTGAATGAATGTTGAGTACAGGTTTTTTCTGGAATGAGCCAAGGCTACATACCTACATCCTTCAAGCATCCTTGAGATTGTTACCTTTGGTAATCCACTTATATCCGTTTTTACATTGCCTACTTGTGGAACTGAACGGTATTAATGGGAAAAAGCTATCAAATAAGGCTGTGAGCACTTAACAACTTCAACTTTCTTAGCCTTACAAAGCATGCTATTTGTAGATATCTGCTAATGCAGTCTTTGGCAAGGGGGTAGATCAGAAAAAAAAAAAATTAATAAGCCCTGTCATCAGCCCACGCTGCAGATAAGTGTACACGCCCTACAGTTTTCCCTCTTTCTGTCAAAACCAGAATATTATCTTGAATTTGTGTGCTTGATGCCCTTGTATTCTAGGACTGGATCTCACATGCTCCGCACAGGAAGCCCCCACAGAAAAGTCCATGGCCTTTACATTAGTTAGCTTCACTATCAAACCACACCACGTGTCTGAAAGTTGCAACAGGCTTAACTATTTACAGACACTTTGGATGTTGTGCTTAATCATGGGAAGATAACTGGCCACTGATGGTGTATTTGAAGATTTTTGTGGCCTTGGCAAACAAAGACTAGAACTTCAGCTTCCTGGAAGCTTGAGTATAGTCTTTCTCTCAGGCAATTTGCACTGACTTCTTTCATGTCCCAGCAACGATACGACTTCTCAGTCTAACAATCTGTAGCCTAACCCAACCGTAACTCTTCAGGCAAAAGTCCTGCTAAGTCTAACAGTCTTTTTTTCTGAATTGAGACTACTACAGCAGGCCCAGGATGATTGTCCCACTACTTGAAAGGCAGTTGCAACCCCCAGATGACAAACTGACTAAAAGAGCCTTTCAACAGCAGCAGCACGTGGGCCTCTGGCAAGTGTCACATGGAAGCAGCTGCACAGCGAGCTATGCGGCTGCTCTGTGCCAGATGGAGACTATGCTGGAAGCAGTTCTCTGGGTGGGCCATTCTCTTCTGCACCCTTAGGAGCATTTAGTCACCACCAGCAGAGTTGCATTCATAAATACATCCTTGCAGAAGCCTATTGATCTACGTGCTGCTACTTTGTGCCGCAGAGAACTATTTTTATGGCCACATAAATTACTATAAAATGTAGGTAGTTTTCTCATTCCATTTTGCAGAAATACTGCAGAGATGATCCATCCTGCCTATGGCAAGAAAATCACCTTGTGTTGGTAGGCTCTTCATTCATCTGGCTTTTATTTATGAGAAAGACATGGTCACGACCAAGAATTTTGAACTCAGACAGCTTTACACTTAAATGCAGAGAAACTCTTTGATCATGTCCAATTTTCTTACAGGTTACTGCTCTAAAATCACTGGAATGAATTTACAGCTATGACTGAAAATGTCTGATCTTATTCCTAATATTCCAGGAACAATTTGAGTTCATTGTCTGGAAGATAAATGGCCTGGAATGTCTATTGGACACTAGAGATGCAAGATGAGTGATGAGATAAACTCAGATCACATTGCCATGTAATTCTTCTTTCAAGTAACTTATTTTAAGTTGTCCTTTGGAAAGAAGGCAGAATTATGAGGAGAATAACACAGGCAAAGCTATGGCAGGATCTAGTTACATAATTACATTTCTTTCATGCTGCATTTCTGTCAGTTTCTCTGCATAACTGTTTTTTTTTTTTTCAGTGTCCTGCATTGCCTTTTGTATTCATTTGCCTTCTTTAAAGGGTTACTGGGTATGTGTGTTTGATAGCATTACTTCTCCATTTCTCTTGATCTACATATTGCACAGGTCAATGGGAGGCGTATGTGGAAATATGTTTAGAGATGTAGGCAATCACCAGTTAAACAGGAGGGCCAGGAACAGGGTTTCATACCTGTTCTGTAATAGTGAAGAAGAGATGAATATTACTTACCAAAATTCAAAAATGTTTAGAGAAGTCTATTCCCACAGAAGCCTCTGAAATACTGACATACTTACCAAGCCAATATACCTAAGAACTGCTCAGCTGAGAGCCAGAAATATATTTTTCATTGCATTTAGATGAAGACGTATTTTCTTACTGTGGGAAAGACTGACTACCAGCTTGGAAAAGGCAGTGCAGCTATAGCAATGTACTGGGAAATATTTCTCTTGTTTCATGTTTACCCTGCTGCCTTCATCAGAAGTAACTTATCTTCAGCACTAAATTTAGATAAATTCTATATAAAGATAGTCCCACAGGTTGGAAGATGTGGAAGCTTGGCTTGAGATCTATGTGCAATGGCATCTGGATTTGTGGCTCTGCTGCAACATCTTTGAAATACTCATCCAAAAACTGATTTCAGGCAAAAGCTTAGGTTATGGTATGCCAGTCTTCACTCCTCAAACACACCATCTTCTCAGGTGAGCTGTTATTCTTTTGGCAGAAAATAATGGAAATCTTGTGACTTTTTTTTAAGGAAAAACAAACAAAAGTAACAGATTTTGTTATATAGTGCACAACAGACACTCTGCTATAGAACATCTGTGAGCTTAGCCTGGGTTTGTGTTGTGCCTTTGGGCAGCCTGCTTCACTGGCTTGCTCCTGCAGCATTCAGAGCAGGTATAAAGTGAGTGTGACACACTGCAAAGAGAGCTGCCTACTGTTAGCGAGACTGTCACTCTCTGGAATGGAAAAAGCACTTCAAGTGTCTTCAGTACCCAGTGCAGCTTTCAGAAACCCAATTCTTGTGCAGTCCCTGTTGAAAATGGAAGTTGTCCATGTCTATCTGGCTTCAACAGTTTGATTAATTCTTTTAACACCACACTTAGCCTGCTTTCTGCTCCCTTCTGGCAGCTATCTATAAGAAGTCACTGATGGTAAAAAGACATGTATAAATAAATATCCGTGCCATATCCAACAAGCCCTACCCTCTATTGTGATAAAGGCCTGAACTTTGGTTTCATGTATTGTAAGCAAGAATAATTCCTTTGCCTTTATAAGCATTATTTGTGATTTAGTTCAGGAGCACAGTCAGAATCGTTTTACATCAATGACTGTTTACATTATAAACATTGCCCTACACATACCTCTGCCCTTCTAACAGTTGTTAGAATGGAACCAGTTTTACAGCAGAAAGGAATAATGTCTGCAAACATCACCATGAATGAAAATGAAATTTGGCCACAGATGTTTGCACTAGATTTACAGTCTGACATGCCTAGCCAGGTTGAGCTTGCATCATAATCTAATAAAAACCTAATAATACCTTTTCATGTAGCTCACCCAGCCACATATATCAGGCTTTGGAGGTGTCAGATCTAAAAAGAGAATTGTACTTCTGCCTTAGATTTTTTTTTTTTTTATTGTTGAGGAACAATATGTTGCAAGAGACAGTTCCTTACCCAGCAGCAGAGTTCCATTTTAGAAATAAAAATAAAAACATTTCTTATCAGATCTGTCCTGAACTGATGTACTCAAACTTGAGAGCTTGTTCTCTATCTCTTACAACTTGCAACTTTTAAATTCTGAAGAGGTTTGACAGGCAGAAAATGAACAGATGCGCTCTAGAGGTGGGAGATGATCTTGTAGGAGGTCTAAGCTTGAGTTATGCAAAGATGCGGAGGCATGCCTGCATGGTGGAGTGCTGTGTGGGTAGAGCAACCCCCCAGAATGCGCTTCTTTGCAGGACTGGATATTACATAAGGCTAGCAAATGACTTCCTGCCTGTCCATTTTATGTCTTGGTAGATATGTGAAGATACCAATAGAGACGTTTCACCAGGAACAGGCTGGGCTTCTGGTTCCAAATCTCATTCTTTCTGTCCCAGTTCTCCTGCAGCAGTCATCTTTTCAAAGCCAGCAAGCAAGCAGTTTCTCTAGCTCCCACACAGGCATCATATGCTTCCTGAACCAGGTTTTCTCTGGCATCTCTGCTCCCTGGAGATGGATGCCTTTGACCATCAGAAGTATACTGAGCACCAGTACCCTGGTGCTTTGTTTTTTCAGCCTTTGGCAAATTTTCACCTCAGTAGCCAAGTATCTTCTGTAGTTGGAAACGCACACAGTATGAAAAAGCATATTTTTTATATGATGTTTTTTAATGTTACAAGATCAGGAGCAGCGATGCAAGAAGGCAGGACATAACTGTTAGCACACACTAATGCACCTATTGTGATGGTCATTAACTTACCTGTATAAGAAGCATAAACAACAAAAGAGTTATCAGGGTTATTTTGATAACAACTGAATTTTTTTCAATGCTGAGTATCTTTGAATCAGAGTGACAGAACAACTATAGTTCTTCATATTTACGTATGACGGCAAACCTCAAGGTTAGTCAGAGATGTTCTTGGAAACTACATTTAACTAGGAAAAAAACAAACAAACAACTTTAAGCATTATAGGTGCAGTAGAGCTCAGTGATATGGTTTAGTGGAGAACTTGTTAGTGTTAGGTCAGAGGTTGGACTAGGTGATCTTGGAGGTCTCTTCCAACCTGAAGGATTCTGTCATTCTGTATCCGCCGTAACTTTCTGCATGAAGGTGCAACATATGACTTCCTGTTGTCATCATATACTTACCTTCTGGTGGGCAGCCATTAGATGAGGTTCAGTCAAACTTGACTCATATGAACAAGAAAATTCTTTATACATTTATTTTAACGTTCCAGGGAATTTTGTAGTCTGATTTATGAAGGACAGATATGAACATTCCTGCTCAAACCCTTGTATAAAAGTTTTGATTCACTTTAAATAGATATTGAAAGCAAAGCTCCTGTGCATTTCCAAGAATCAGTTAATTGCAGTGCTGTGGTGTATTTACTGATCTATTTTAAACTAAAGCATTCTCCATTAAAAAGACATGCTTTAGGGTTAATAAATCTGTGCTAGAACATGTATAGAATACTTATTTCTGAACATAGTTTATTCTTTTTAATTTGTCAAGTAATTAGAGAAAGTTGCAAACTCATTTGCGATTCACACAGTAAAAAATATATTGCAAACGTTATTTCATTAGGTACAGGGAAAGATCACATTAAAACTGGAAATATCAATTACTGTTGCCTGTATGACATTAAATTCCTATTTTATAGTTTAATAATCAATCCTTTAAAAATAAATTCTAGAAGTCTAGATAGGTAGTTCTGGAAATTGAGTGTAGAACAGGAAAATATAAATGGGTATTGAGATTGGGCATATATTGGGAAAAATGAGTGTTACAATAATTTATTCTGCTTTAGGCAGCGTCACAAATCTATCCTGGCATACAATAAAACACCAACAATTCTGAATACTTGTCTTTACCACAAAAAGCACATGTGAATTAATAATAGGACGGCCTTCAATGAAGTGGAAAATAAACCTAATAGAAATAATCTTAGAGAGAAAAGTCATCTAAATATACCTTTATATCACACACCTAATATCAATGAGTTTTTAATTCCCTTTTTTTTCTAGAGGAAAGCCACACAATCGCAGAAGTGTAAATTGCAGTTCAATGAACATAAACAGTATACATATGAAAAATACTCGCAGTGCACAAAGGACAACTTTTCTCATGACCTTCCGGAGAAACACAGAAATTACTGTTAGGGACGTCTAGGAAAAAATGTATTTGGTGTTGTCATCTGAGTAGATTAGGGACTGGTTCTGAAGGTAACTAAGCATTCCAGTACAGAAACATTTGTAATATTTGTGATACGAGTACCTGCAGCACCAAAGAGCAGAAGGAAGATGCATTGTTTGCATCTGTCCCTTCATTCAGGTCTACCAGCTTTATTTATTTATTTTATTATTACTATTTTTTTTTACATACTGTAATACAGCTTTGCATTTTATAATCAAAACAAATACTGTATCCTGAAGAGGTCTATACTGACCCATCACCTCTAAGCTCCTTTTAATCCCCTGTCCTCCTGCTACTGAAAAGAAACTTTCTTTAGCAGCTTCCCCTGATAATGTGTACTAAAGATTTAAAATAATATACTCGGCTGTGAATGCAGGAAGTTGAAAAATTGGCTTCTGTTGCTAGGTTTGTAGCAGAAGAAGCAGCAGATAAGTGTGATTACTAAACCACCACTTAAACCACCCCTAAAGCAGTTTTTGAGTTGGAGTCTGAAGAAACTGACCTCTCCATCTGAAGGACATTGTCTTCAGCTCCTTAGTTTTTCTAGTATCTCATCTTGGCTTTGTGCTATTAAAACAAGGAGCTACAGAAGTGAACTCATAAATCCCATTTTCCAAATTCTCTCTCAAACCTACCAGTGGTTAATGGACACGCTTCCAACAACAGACAAAACCTAAACTGACAACCAAACCTTTTCTGTAACAGAAGTTGGAGTACAGAAGTTGGAAAAGTATCTTTCTCTTAAGATGGCTGCAAAGCACAAACGGGGGTGAAAGTTGAAGATGTACAGGTTTAACAGAAGCAAAGTGAAGCTGAAGGAGAACAAGTTTTGTCACAGAGTGATTAAAGTAACCAGGAAAGTAATAAATTGTTTGGTCCAAACAATTGTCTTTTCTAATTGTTCAGCCCCACTGATCTCCCTTTTTAACCTGTTTCCCGTTTCATGCTCCTAATCAGGTTCAAATGAGGTGTATCTTTGCAAGCTTGACCTACTTTAGAGGGATTAACAGTGCTCTGCCATGTCTACCCTGTTTCAGGAACACTCGGTTCTGTTTTAGAAATGAAAGCAACTCTACCCTTGTTCCCAAGCAGACTTTGCCTAAACTGCAAACCTTCTCGATGCTGAATGTGGCTTGCAATTAATTCCAAACCTGCTCTATATTAACTGGTAGAGAAGAGTTCCTTAGATGTACCCTACAGTTTTTTCCTTCCTCATTCTGAAGTCAGTCTTTCCTGGTCCTTTTGAATTCATAGGAATCTCCCCATATATTTGGGGCCATCATTTTACATGCTTCCCCTTCTCTACTTCATGGAGATCTGATTTGTCACCTCTCTCACTCACATGCTCTTTGAGGACAGAAATATAATTATTCAGAACCTTGTATCACACAATAAAATGTTCTTTAACTCTTCCTTTCACACATCATCAAAATGTCATGTAAATTCACCTAATTTGATTCCAGCACGTGAATCCCTCCACCACCTTTCAAACTTCTTTCAGTTTTAGGCAATCACTTTTTTCTTTATCCTCAGAGAATTTATAGGAAAAACACTGTATTTCCCTCAGGCTTCCCCAGTTTTTACTGAGCAGCAAGGAAAAGTCCTTCCTGTACTGTCTTATCACAAGGAAACTTCAGCTAAGTATGTCTTCTCAAATAATTTCTATTACCGTATTTCTTTCTCTTCACTACATTAGTTCACATCTAAATACTCTTAGGTCTAAATATTTTTAAAACACCACATTCAACATTAAAACTATTTACTCAAGAAGGAAGGGCACTGATAAATTAGATTTTTTTTTTTTTTACAAACCACAAAAATAGCTAAAGGATAAAGGATTAGAAAAAAATAATATTGAGACTGAGTTCAGTCTCTGTGTATTGCATGGAAGATAGCAGAAGGTATGTGTTCCATGAGGCTCTTACTTACTTCAATTCTCAGCTGGCATTAATTGTGGCAGCAGGAAGCTTACAGCTCACAAAGACAGGGCTCTCAATGCTGGGAAGCTATCAGTGAAAAATCTTCTTTGGTAGCAGCAGGTAGTTTTTGAATACCTAGTGAAGAGAGAATATAAGTCATCGCTGAATCATTGGGAGATGTGACCTAGCCTTACACAGTAGCAAGTGAGGAAAATTGCTATTGATGTTTCATTTCTGCATAGTGTGAGTAGTGCTATGGGCAGGCCCATCTCCCTGCTCGCTCAGTGATGGAAGAACTGTGAAAGCCCTCAGCTGCTTCTAAATTCTTCCTGATTAGGAGCTGTCTTTTGCTTGTCCCCAGGTGCTAATGCTGAGTCCACTTGGGTGTCCATAAAGGCCAGACCTATAAAGGCCTAATAAAGGCCAGGCTTTATGGAATGGTTTGATCAAATTTACCAAATTCCTACAGAGAAAAAATGGGAACAGTGCAAAGGAGCCTCGTTAGACAAACTGGCCGTGTGACAAAATGGTGGTTAAGTCTTAAAATTTCCTCAAGCAGGGGAGAAAAACCCAACCAACCCAAGCAACCTGTGTAAATGTTTTCACAACAGGGCTTACTAACCTGTGGAGTAACTTTCAGAGAATTCATCACAAGCCAAGTAGGAATTTTCTGAAATCTTGGCTGAAGACTACAGCCTGTATGCGGCAGGAAAGCAGATCAGACCTTTACAGTGGTTTTCTCCGCTTTATTCTGGTCGATTTACCAGGTTTTGGAGCTTGGCTGTGCTAATCCCCGTTAGCAGAGGGTGCAGGCACTGCACTCAGGGGCAGGGCTGCCGTTCAGAGACCAGGGCACCCTAAAAGGCACGGTGCTGAGAGGAATCTGACTGAAACCAGCAACGAAACGTGGAGTCCTGTACTTGGGCTGGGCTAAAGCATGTGCTGGGGTCGGGCACTGGCTTCCTGACGGAACATAACGGGCTGGGCTGACCAGACCCGAAGGGACAGCGCTGGCGGCCAACAGCGCCCTGAGCTCGCCCTTTCACTTGGCACCAAACACGGGGGTGGGCGCCCCGATACGAGAAAGCTCCCAAAAAAAAACATTCGAGCCCCACGAAGCCCCGGTGCCGCCTCCTCGCCTCAGGCGGGGGCCGCCCCTCACCGCCCCGCCCCGCCGCGGCCGTTAGCGCCCGCCCTCACTGCCTGGGCCCGGGCGGGGGCAAAATGGCGGCGGGCGGCGGCGCTGGGCGGTGGCTGTGTGCGGCGGCCGCCCTGCTGCAGGCGGCAGCGCTCGGCCCCTCCGCCGCCTTCTCCTCCTCTTCTTCCTCCTCCTCGGCCTCGGTGGGCAGCCCCGGCGAGCTGCGGAGCCGCGTGCGGGTGCTGGGCGGCTCCAACTGGAGCCTGGTGCTGCAGGGCCAGTGGATGGTGGAGTTGTGAGTAGCGGGCTGAGGGGCGCCCCCCGAGGGGCTGGGGTCGGGCTCCTGCTCCGCCGGGTCACCTGCGAGTGCCCGAGGGGGATAAAGTGCCCAAAATCTGGTAATCTGCGGCCGCAGTTATTGTGAGGCGACGCGCCTTGTGCCTGGGACCTTTGTGGGGGCTGGATTTGGTCAGTAGCGCCTGGCAGGAGTGGGAAGCGCTCCCTAAAATCCTCAGCGCTGCTGCTGCTGTGTCCTGGGGGCAGCGGGGCAGGTGTCCCCGTGGTGCCCAGGCTGCCAGCAAACACCTCTGTGGCCACAGCTTGGCCGCAGGTACGGAGCTGGTGTTAATGCAGGCGATGGCTTGTGCTTGGAGGCAAGCTCCACCTGGTTCCAGTTACACAGGAGAAAAGGGACTTGAGGCTTTCTAACACAGCAGTTAAAGAGCGGTTTGGATGCTCGTGTGGCACCTGTAAGCGTGAAATAGGATTTTACTGAGGCGTGCGTGCTGTAACAGTTTCAAACAGACTAAGTCTCCTCAGGAAGGAGGCGGCCTGTCAGCACCTCAACTCCTGCTGCCTTGTAAGCACACCGCTGCTTCAAGTTTTCTTCCGCTCGAGTGTTGAATTTGAATTGGTTTGAGTCATTTGGGGGAGGGATTTCGGCTTTCCCATGGGCTTTGGTGCTCTGGATGCCACTGGAGTGTCACCAGGGATGGGTGGGGGCAGCCCTGAAATACCTGATCGCAGGCCCAGGGATGCCCACGGCTGTGGCTATGGGCTTGGGCTTGGTTTTGAGCCTTTTTTTTTTTCCACCTCCATTTATCTTGTTCTAACAGATGAGGGAAGTGATAATTTTGGAGTGGGAGAAAATATTTTTTTCTCAAATTTTCTACATTTTTTTTTCCCGCATGTCTGCCATCCGAGGCCTATATGGAAAAAAGTTGTATGAAGCTACCTATTTGCTCCCAACCCAGTGAATACTGGGGAGGACAGGGGTCACTTCAGGTGACCCGGTGCTTTCTTTTATTTCTAAGAGGAAGTACCTAAGTAACTAGTGGTGCGTGCCTTTGGGGGAGGAAGAAGAGAGGAACTGACTGAAATCAGAAGCGGCTGGGATAGTGAGCAGCCACACTGCTTTGCGTGCCTTTACTCTGCTTGAAACATGGGAATGACAGGTAGCTGAGAATAATAATGGTGCAGAAGTTAGCTTTAGTGTAGCTGAACTTGGTACATCGTGCTCTGCCTACTTCTTTTTCTGTTTTGTATACTGTGCTTCACGTGGCAAGGAAACTTGGCTCTCCATGCTGCATTCGGTGGTGCACTTCTAATACATCCTACTTGTGAGGAGGAGCCTTCCTCTCTCCTGAGGATGCTGCTGGTTCTGAATTAAGTCTGAGATCTCCAGTTGTGTCTGAACACTAATTTAAGGTCCTGAATTAGTTTCTTGTGATTCTTACAGTTCTCATATTGACAGATTTTGGCTTCTACTGATTTTCATCTGATTTAGAGCTGGTGGTGTGGACAGGAATCTGGCACTGGAGTTCAGAGGTTCCTCCCATGCTGTGTGGTGGGTCTGTTGGCAAGGATGCAGCATCCTTCATCAAAACTTCATTTGATCGTATATCTGCTGTTTATAAGACTTTTAGCAGTATTTCTTCTTATTTTTTAATGCACAAGTTGTTGCAGCATCTCTTTGGAAAAAGAAAAAAAGGTCACTTGTTCTAATTACTGTTTTGAAGCCTTCTTCAAACAGGTACTCCTGTATAACTTCATTTTCTCCATTTGTGAAAATAGTGTAGGCCAATTACCGTACGCTGCCACTTTCTTATTTGTTCTCGGGTGCACAAATGGAGAGACTTAAGTCAGAAATAATTTGTGTGCGGGATTTGTAGGGGTAATAGGATTTTTATTCCTTCATCCTTCCTAGCTGAAGTGCGTGTACTTGGCTGACTTCTTGTAAATATTCAGTTATTCGTAGCTGGCAAAACTGCAGGCGCTGGAAGCAATGCTGCATGTCATTGATAATGTTCTGGATAACTTTGTCTCTGGAAGACATTGCAATGCTTTTTGCTTCGTGTTAATATCACAGCACACAGATCCTCACTGAAATACTTAAACTATGGTGTTGGAGCAAACTTACAAGTTCCCTTCTTGAATCATTTCTACTCCTGTTTTCTGCAAAGCGATGTTTTGCTAGCATGAGGAGTTTTCTTCTGTCTTTATTATTGTGTCTCTTGGGAATATAGAAAACTAAATCCTGGTGTTTCGCATTAAAAGTGCATTTTGCATTTGTAAACATAGCTTGTTCCAAGCTTGACTGATCTCTGTTGAACTCCATCTTCTTTTTGAAGTAAATAAGTGTTTATAGTCTTCATGCCTCTGTTTACAGACTAAAGTAACTCCTGCTGGTCCTGCAATACTTCAGGTGTTTGCCTGTTGAGAAGATCTCTGCTTTGGCTCCCACCTGGGCTGTGAAACGTTTTGGTTCCCTGTAGTTTCAGGGAAGTATTAGCACTGTCTGCTCCAAAAAATGGATGGGTTAACTTTCTATTTTAATTCCAGCCAAGGTTAACATTGGGAGAACAGTAATAATCATAACGAGAATCATGCTTTCAAGGCTAGCTTATAGCCCGTAATTTATTTTCTTATAACTTAAAATGTTTCCCTGCTGCTTTGCAGGCGAGATCATCACAAGGGGTCAGTGCCTGGCAGCTCCCGTTAGCTGCACCACTTCCAAGGGAGTGTGCTCAAAATCTAGCTGAATTTGTACTGCTTATGTGGACTAATGCTTTTAAATAATTGGCCCAAAAGGCTGCATAAATAAACTTGTTAAATAATTCACTGAATTCTTCATAATTAGTGTAACCGAGATTCAGGACTCAGTAAGATTGGGGAGTTTTCTGTCCCTTGGGAGAGCGTGGTCTCGCGTTTCCTCTTGATTTATTAGTATCTAGGCTTTTCTTAGTCCTATTCGTTTAAAAAAAAAGAAAGTCTGCAGGGAATGCAAATAGAGTTACTAGAGCTGCAGTTTGGTTGTGAAGTGTCTGCAGACCTCCTGAGGTCAGAGAAAGTGACCAAATTATCCTACTCAGTAACTGAGCATCGTTCCTGCGCTGGGCATTGGCTGAGCAGAAACTGATAAAATGTGAAACTGAAATATCTGTGGTAGCTGATACTTTGCTATTGTTGCAGAGATAAACCTGTATGGGGTGGTGGAACTTAATCTGCTGAAGTACTGCAAGAGTTTGCATTGCTTTTCAGCTGGCTTTTTGTTTTAAAAAGGAACACTGTCTTTTTCCAAAAAAAAAAAAAAAGACACCGTGAATGGAATACAAGTTGAATTGCAGATGGAACTTTAATCGTTTTCTTGGTTTTGAAAGTAGAAAGCTGAATAATTACAGTACATCCAGCCTTGCTTCCCATCTTGGTCTTGAAATGTTTGAACGCGCTTGGTTACTGAGCTGGTTACTGAGGGCAGGGTCGCACTCCAGCCGTTATCCTGGAGGATACAGTTTAATTGACTCATGGTGTGTCACAGCACAAGGTAAGCGGTTGCATTTCCCCTTGTGCAGGTGTTACCAGAAGAGATCTGCATGCCAGGTTACCCCAGCACACCCAGCAGGATGGGAGCTCAGCGGGCTGCCAGCAGTGCCTGGTTTGGGTTTTGCCACAAGGTCCAAATCCTGTGGCTGTGGCTCTGAAATCATCTGCTGAGCTTCTGTGAACTCTTAGTAAAGCTCAGGCCTAGCAGGACAACATACTGCAAACATGCTGTTGGCCCACAGAAGTCACTTTATAGAAGGAGTTTGAGGTGTGTGCATGACAGCATCTGAGAGGAACCAAACAGTTTGTGATTTATTTATTATTTAAGCCATTTATGTGAAGCCTGGCAGGACAACCTAGGGGGAAACCTCATTTCTCTGTGCTGTGATGTTTGTGATAGGCCTTTAGCAATTTGTGAAAACTTAACAGTTGTGGAGCAACTCCTTTGGGATTGTGATATGTTCCGTGTCTGCTTTGGAGGGTTTTGGCATGCTGGAGGCAACTGCTTGTCAGCTTCTTGACTGGCTGCTCTTGGCTTGGACTGGCGCACGCTTCGTTGGGTTAGAAACTGGCTGGATAGCCGGGCCCAGAGAGTTGTGGTAAATGGAGCCAAGTCCAGTTGGAGGCCAGTCACTAGTGGCGTCCCCCAGGGCTCGGTACTGGGGCCGGTCCTCTTTAACATCTTCATCAATGATCTGGATGAGGGCATTGAGTGCACCCTCAGTAAGTTTGCAGATGACACCAAGCTAGGTGCGTGTGTCGATCTGCTTGAGGGTAGGAAGGCTCTGCAGGAGGATCTGGATAGGCTGCACCGATGGGCTGAGGTCAACTGTATGAAGTTTAACAAGGCCAAGTGCCGGGTCCTGCACCTGGGGCGCAATAACCCCAAGAAGAGCTACAGGCTGGGAGAGGAATGGCTGGAGAGCTGCCAGGCAGAGAAGGACCTGGGAGTGATGGTGGACAGTCGGCTGAATATGAGCCAGCAGTGTGCTCAGGTGGCCAAGAAGGCCAACGGCGTCCTGGCTTGTATCAGAAACAGTGTGACCAGCAGGGCTAGGGAGGTGATCGTCCCCCTGTACTCGGCTCTGGTGAGGCCGCACCTCGAGTACTGTGTTCAGTTCTGGGCCCCTCGCTACAAGAAGGACATCGAGGTGCTTGAGCGGGTCCAGAGAAGGGCGACGAAGCTGGTGAGGGGCCTGGAGAGCAAGTCCTATGAGGAGCGGCTGAAG